TTTCTCTGATTCTCCAGTGAGCTAACAGCAGCCCTGCCTTAGCTCACTTCTTTCCCACAACTTTTCTGGAGAGCCAAAGCAGCCATGCATACATAGGCTCTCTCTTGTTGCTTCTTCTACCCTAAGCACTTCCACAACTTTAATAAACATACTCTTAAAATCACCTGGACTTGTGTCATGAAATCTTTCCTGCGCAAAGTCAAGAACCCACACTACCAGCTAGCAGGAGCAGACTCGCTCTGGGCCCTGTCCCCTTGCAGTAACAGAATGACATTTGGCATTTGAATTTCAGTTCTGTTTAGTACTATTAAGCATGTGGCTTAACCTAAACCTCAGTTTCCTCATCATTATACTAAGAAGATAAATGGGGAAGTTTAAACATGGCATGCAGTGCTACTTAAAGTATGGTCTGCAGACCATGGCAGGTCCACACGCTATTAGCAGTCTGCATCAAGATAAGTGTACAAAAACAATGCATACACATTTAGAACATCTCACAGTAATTTAACAGTTAGTGTTTGTTGAATCTAGTAATAAAGCCTATATTCTGCATGGTTTTTCTCATACAGAAAACTAGAAAAGTTTTTCTAGTAATTTAATTTTTCTAGTAATAGCTCTAGCATTTTACAAAAGTACTTTACATGTCACTTATACCTTAGTAAAGCTGGAGGAAAAAAATACTGATCTGCAACAACTTGAGGGGGAGGGAGAGGGACCCTACTTGATCCTTCATCAAGTGTTTCAGAAGCACTGATATCTAGCACTTTACTGAGTGGTGAGCACTTTACTGAGAAAGAGCTCTCAAAATATTAATGTCCTTTCCATCTACTGGGCTCTATAGTCAGTCACTAAAATGCTTACAGAAGAGCCTTCTGGGCAAAAGAGTATGTTGTGCAAGTGCAGTGGTTGAGCTACAATTTTTAGTTGCAAAAATAAAACCCACACAATATAGAAGATACAACGTAAAAGACATTGTACAATATCTAAATAAGTGATATTGAAAAAGAAATTCTGAAAAACTAGGGCTCTTTTCAAAATACAGTGGCCAAAGAGGTTTTGTCAGAGGAATTATGATTAGAACTGGACTTTCGAAGGCTGTACAGGATTCATTCCAGGAAGCTGGGAGAAGGCACATTTAGGCAGAGATTTTGCCAGTGCAAACGCAGAGAGAGCCACTATGAGAGAAGAGTCCAACAGAAAAGCAATAGAAAGTTAAGCTGGAACTTGTGTAATGGGAAAATCTTGTCTTTGCCTATTAATTTAAGGATTTAGAACATAAACCAGGGAGTCACTGAAGATTTCTGAGCTGAAAAACAAACGATCATATTGAGGCCACACAAATCAGGATCACATATCCTACTATTTTATCACTACACATATAACTCTGTCTGTGGTCTCAAACTTTTTAAAAAATATATATTTTTATTGATTTTTTGGAGAGAGAGATAGAAACATTGATGTGAGAGATACATCTGCCTTGGAGAGAGAGACAGCTGCCTCCTGCATGCCCCCTACTGGGGATAGAGCCTGCAACCCTGGCATGTGCCCTGACTAGCAATCAAACCCGGTGGGACTTCTCAGTCCATGGGATGACATTCAACCCACTGAGCCATACCAGCCAGGCTCAATTCTTTTTCCTTTCATTGTACTCACCCTGCAAAAGGTTCCAACCTCAGATCAATGCAACCACCTGCTTTCTAGACTCTTGGACTTAAATCTTGACTCAAATTTGCTGAAGAAAACCAAACAATCTCTCATAGTGATACACAAGTAATGTATAGTTTCCAACCTAAGCAGGGCCCCCAGCCTGGCCCAGCAAATCATTTTGGTGTTCCTGATCCACTCACTCTTCATTTCCCAAGGAACAGCTGTTTCTAACTCTCACTCTTATCCTCAAGCCCCTTTACTCCACTGCTTCCCACACCTCTTACCTGGTGTCCCTGCCCCCCTTCCACTTAGAACAACTAAGATCATCAGACATAACCTCTCTCGACTCTCAGCTCTATTCCACCCAAGCCTAAAAATGCCCACCCTGACTTCTTTGCTTCTAATCTAAGCCCTCCACTTGTGTGACTGATAATCACTTTTTGTCCCTTAGTTGATTGCTTCTCATTTGTTTCCAATCTTCTCTTTATCTTGACCCCATCCCCATGAGTTGCTCAAAGCTCTTCCATTTTATAGGGAGGAAAAACCTAACATAAAACAAAACCTTTCCTTGACTCTATATTGGCTGCTCCTCCTCTCAAGTGCTGATGTCCCAGACGTCTGCACCTTTAGTCCTCTTCCTCACTTTATACAGCCTCCTTTCATAAACTAATCCACTCCCACATCTTCAACTACCATCTCTGAACCATTAGCAAGCACATCTGTATCTCTTGCCCCTCTGAGCTCTCGTGGTGCCAATTCCACATTACCCTAGTGAATAGCATTGTCCACCTCTATGTCCCATAGATATCTGGCACTTAACATGTCCAAAATTGAACATCTTCCCCCTAAGTTTGTCTCCACTTATGTTTTTGATCTTTCAGGGACCGACACTATCTACTCAGTTATTCACAGAAGAAACCTAGGAATCATTCCAGATACCTCAGGTGGTTGACTCAGGCTAATTCTCCCATAAGTTCTCCTATCCAGCCTCTGCCCATTCCCATATTCAGGACCTGAGCTAAAACAGTCGGACCTGCCTTATTTCAGGTACTGAGTATCTCTTGCTTAGATTATTCAACTGCTTCCTAACCACTTTCTCTGCCTCCAGTCTTGTTCTCTTCCATCTACCCACAATACGGTTACCGGATTTGACCATATAACCACCTTGCCTAAAATAATTTAATGGATACATGAAACACTTCAGAGTGATTGTCTCTTGAAAGACTAGGGGTGGGGGAGTCTGCAGTAGGAGAAATATTTACCTTTCACTTTAGTACTATTTGAATTGTCTACCATTAGCATGTACTACTGTACACAACTAAACAGTGGCCACCAATGTTTACAATACAAAGTCCTACATGATCTATCTGCTTTTAAGCTTCTCTCTCAAGACACTCTGTCTGGCTCTGGAGTCTATGCACTCATTTTATTATTATTTTTAATCCACTCATGTTTTTTCTTATCCACTCATCTTTTAAAACTCTGCCCAAATGGCACTCCCTCCTGACTTCTCCATACAGAATGGACTTCTCCTTTGTGCCATTTAATAGAGTCCATCATGGCATTTATAGCTCATGTTGTACATAACACTTAAACAAATTGTTTAAAATGTCTGTCTCCTTACATTTGCCTTAGATTCCCTAAGGGCAGGAACTGTTTCTAATTCACCTTTGAATTTTCAGCGTTCAGCTACTGAATCAAAATATATTGGGGGGGAATGTCCGGCCGGTGTGGCTCAATGGTTCAGCATCGACCCATGCACTGGTTCGATTCTTGGTCGGGGCATACGCCCAGGTTGTGGGCCCAATCCCCAGTGAAGGGCATGCAGGAGGCCGCCAATCGATGTTCTCTCTCATCAATGTTTCTCTCTCTCCTTCTTCCTTCCTTTTTCTCTAAAATCAATAAAGGAAAAAAATTTGTTTTTAATTAATTGGGGTGCGGTTTGGATAAGTGTTTAGAAAATGCTCACCTGGTGATTTTAACTTACTCCCCCTGTAAACAATTGCACTATAATATAAACTCTTAGAGATCAGGAATCACTGTGTCTAGCACATGCTCAATATATGGTTTCTAATCTGAACCAGAGTAGACAAGTCTCAAAGCTGAAGAAGGAAAGGTTAGGGGTGGAGATGTGGAAGTATTAGGATATATCAGGATAGTGTGCAAAGTTGTGGAAGTCAATAAGCTTACTCAAGAGAGTTTGAAGACTTGTCACCCTGTAACTGCAGGGGACTCATTTACATTTGTTTTTCCTTCCAGACTGAGTTCCTTAAGTTCAGGAACTCTGTCCTATGCATCTCTGTCTACCTGGCACTGAGCACAGTACAGTGCAAGGTACATGTTATGAGTTCAGGGACATTTTACTGTACCAGTGCCACTGATAATGGAAAGAGGTACAGGACTTCAAGGACATAAAAAAGTGACTTCTTTGCCCTAGAGAGCTGGAAATAGAGATTTTCAGAGGAACAACTGAGCTTGATCCTGAAAGAGAAGTTCACTAAGTGGTTAGAACTTCAAGTAGAGGGAACAGTAGGAGCAGAGGTACTAAGGCATGAAAGAGCAGATACACCCTTTTCCATGTAGCTGGGAGTCAAATGCATGAGACAGGAAACATATTAGGGAGCTTTAGACAATGAGGATGAGAGGATCAGGGCCAGACTGTGAAGCCATGGTCACCCACCTAAGAATTTATGCCATACCGTGGGTGGCCTAAGAGGAGTTTATTTTAATCTGAAATGGCTACATTGACTTTTTATAAAGGTAACTCGTGGCAGCATGAAGGGCTAAGTAAAGAACTGGGAGCCTCAAAGGAAGGAGCTTAACTACTGGCCGACGGTCCAATTAACAAACATACACAGAAGCTGTATCCTCCTTAAGTTTTATACCCAAGAGAAAGCAGGAAAGGGAATAAGAAACCCATTCTATAAAAACCTAAGATTTAAGTCAAGCAACCTGTGAATTCCCGCTCCCGCTCCCGCTGACCACCAGGCTGCACACCTGTTCTTTTCGGGTTTGAGCTGGATGGGGCGTTCCGAGGTGAGAACGCCCAGGAACCTTCTGTTCTACCTTTAGGGTTCCAAGTCCCTTCCCATCCCAGTCCCACCCACCACGAAGGCCAGGCTGTGCAGAGAGGCGCAGGGAGAAACACAGAGCATCCCGGGCCAGTGGGGAACGCCGCGGCACCCACCCACGACGCAGGGTGGGAAACTGCGCGTGCGCAACGAAAGCACGCGCCCCGCCCTTTGCTTTTCAATCCGGTGGCGGGAAAGGGCACTCAGCTCCTCCCAAGGGTGCCCCGTGGCTTCGCAGGGACGCAGTTCTCTTAGAGCCCTCTAATCCACACGTTCACTCACCCGCACCCCGCCGGTCCTCAGGATCCCCGGGGGGCCAGCGGCCTTTAGGTGCCGGGCCGCAACCTTTCCCGCCACCTAGCTCGGTGGGACCAATCTCCGCCTGCGTGCGGAACGGGGCGGGGCGAGCTGGGCTGGCCCATGTGACCCGGGTGGGCAGGGGAATTGGTGGTTAAATTAAGTAAAAGGGAAGTGACTATAAGTATTGTTTTATCTGAATCGATCCCCTACGTTGAACCTAAAAATCACAACGCAAAGAATTTTTTGCTGACTTAATATAATAAGAATCAAAGTCCGATTAGATGTAAATTTACAAACATTCTTCCCCTTCTCCTAGTCAAGTGGGCTATTCCAAAGTCCTATAGAGTTAGAAAAGTTAGGTTTATTTAAGAAGGAGTGCAGAATTGAGCTCCTGGGAAGAGTGGTCATTTGTGGGGCCGCGGTATCTGTTGGTTTGGAGGTAAAGGTTTAAAGTTTGGGAGACTCCCAAAAGGAAGATTAACAACAATAAATATTAATTGGTCAGTTGATGCTCTCCTTTGGACACAGCTGAGTGTATTTTGCCAACAACAAGATAGGGCTCAAACGACTAATTATCTCTTGAATTATTAAGCATTTGAATAGAAGGAATCAATTTGTGTCATATGAGGAAAAACTAGAAGAGATTTGATGAAGATGAAAGGACAGTTTAGAAAAAAGTGAAAAGACGCACACAAAGGAAAATAAAGACTATAAAATTAGTGATAAAAGCAGGAAGATGCCATTTGAAGAATGTTTTGATCTGCTTTAACGAAATTAAAACTCTGAGGGTACAGTCTTGGGAAAAACAAAAACTGCCTCTCCCTCCTATGCACCCCCTTTGCTCCAGGCATCAGATTTCCTGTTTTTGCCTTGGAGCTCTTCTGGGACATAAGTACCATCTGCCTGGAGACACCAATGGGGATGTCAAATGGAACAGTTAAGCTACTTAATTTTTCTAGATTCTATGCTCACCCACCCCTTGGTTGGCCCAGGGCCTCCAAAGAGATCCATCATGCCAGAATGAACACAAAACCCAGCCAGTGGATGTAGACAGGTTTATGTGGCTTTACAGAACGCTTCAAACCCCAGCAGTCACTTTTCTCAGAGTTACTTCCCCACCCAAACCCCTGGGGGCAAGCATCCCTGAGATAAGTAGGCTACACTCTCCCATTAACTTCCCCCTAACTTTTTGGTACAAATTCATCCTGAATTGTGGTTAATACTTGCATTTCTTCTCTTCCTGCCCCAGTCCCAACCCTTGGAATGCCTTGTGTCTTCCACTTCTCTCCATCTTCCTCCATCCTCCTGTGAGGATAATTCCCCGCTCCCTCAGAAACCTAAAACCATACACTTGACTGGCATGAGTGTAAAGACCAGACACTAAAGGTCTTGGTTTCCTGTACTCACCACACTAGGTTGGGAGAGAAAGGTATAGGATGATACCTCTTTTCCCTTCCCTACTTCTCCTGCCATGCCCCCAAACTTAAGATACAGCCACATTCACTCACATGCATACACACAATCATGCACACACAACGGTAAAGATAGGTGGGATGGGAAGGGAAGTTTGCACCAACCAGCTCATGAATGTAACCTGAAAGATTTCACACAGCAAAAGGCAAAAAAACTCACACATACATTAAAAAATAAAGAAGTATATGCCCCTCCCACAGTCTCTTTCTTCATCCATGAGCTGTCTTAGCCCCTCCACATAAAACCAGAAGCTTCCTACTGCCTCTATTCATCTGGAGCTTTTACAGGGCTTGGGTCTTCAGTTCAACAGGTTCCCCTGTGCCCTCTGGTTGTCCATTGGAATCATTGGGCCTGCTACCCTTGAGAATAGACAGTCTCTCAGAAACACTCTTGAGTCTGGGGAAGAGGAGAAAGTCGTAGAGGAGACTGCCCAGGCCCCCTCCAATGATTGGGCCCACCCAATATACCTGTAGGAAGAGAAAAGAAATGATCAGGCTTGGGGAGAGACCAAGAGCAAAGCTGCCCTTTTCTCAACTCCATAGGTAGAAAACAGATGTACCTGGGTACTATATTTAAGAAAACAGACATACTTGGATATATACTTGGGCGCTATTTAAGCAGAAATCACTGTTTGTGTGTTTTAAAACTCTAAACTGTTCCACTGTCTGCACCTCAAAATTCACCATTTATTTTCTGACTCATCAAATTATTTCTTTATCGCATACCTTTTTAGCACATGTATATTCTATATATTGTTATTAGTTGGTACTAGTTTACATCTTACTTTGAAAAATTTTTTTTAATTGTGACAAAATACACATAACATAAAATTTACGATTTTAACCATTTCATTTTTTTGTTTTGGGGGTTTTTTATCAGAGAAAGAGAAGAAGGAGGGGGGAGAGAGAGAGAGAAACATCAATTTGTTGTTCCACTTATTTATGCATTCATTGGTTGCTTCTTGCATGTGCCCTGACAGGAGTGGAGAGAGATAAAATTCACAACCTTGGTGTATTGGGATGACACTCTAACCAACTGAGCTAACTGACCAGGGCCCTTAACTATTTCTAAATGTGCAGTTCAATAGTGTTAAGTATATTCACATTATTGTGCAACAAATCTCCAGGACTTTTTCATCTTGCAAAACTGAAACTCTACACCCATTAAATAACAACTCCCCATTTCCCCTCTCCCCAGCTCCTGTCAACAACCATTTTGCTTTGCTTCACTGAATGTGACTACTTTAGATACTACCTAGATATAGGTGGAATTACACAGTATTTATCTTTTTGTGACGGGCTTATTTCATTAAGCATAATGTCCTCAAGTTTCATTCATGTTGTAGCATATGACAGGATTTTCTTCTCTTTTAAGGCTGAATACTATTCAACTGGAATATATTTTGTTTATTTATTCAATTGTGAGGGACACTTGGGTTGCTTCCACCTTCTGGCTATTGTGAATAATGTGGCCATGAATATGGGTATATAGCTTTGAAAAAAAATTTTTAGAGTTTAAAATGAAAGAGTTGCCCTGGCCGGTTTTGGCTCAGCGGTTAGAATATCGGCCCACAGACCAGTGAGTCACGGGTTTGTTTCTGGTCAAGGGCATGTACACACGTAGGTCAGTTATGGTTCATCCTCGGCCCTGGTCGGGTTGTGTGGGAGACAACCAGTCGATGTGGCTCTATCAAATCAATGTTTCTCTCTGTCTCTCTCTCTCCCTCCCTCCTACTCTATCTGATGATAAATTAAAAAATGTCCTCAGGTGAGGAATAAAAAAAAGAAAAGAAAAAAAATAAAGTGCAAGAGTTTATTAACGAAGCAGTGAGACAGAGAGTGGGCTACTCCACAGACAGAGCAGCCTGAAAGTGTTTTTGAATTATTTTCATATGTTTTGTCTGGCATATGGCCAAACAACACAAACAGCCAAATTTGATTGAAGACTTATTCCATACCAGATTTTGTGCTAAATATTTCTCATAAGTTTCACGCTTACTTTTTATAACACCTCGTTTTATAGTAAGGAAATGGAAGTGCAGACTGATTGAATCTTGTCATGGTCACATACAAGACTAGCAAAGTGCTAGAACTGGGATGAGGCCCAGACCTGTTTGTGCTCATACACATCTTGACCTCTGAGAGTAGGAGTTTTGTCTTCCTGTTCAGTTGTTTTTCCTGACAGTGTTAGTTTTAGAATCCAGTGGATACTTAGTAAAATTATGTGACTAACCAGCGATGGAACAATATGAACAAAATTCTCTCTTTCTGACAAAATAATAGATCCTGTTTACACAGGCATCCCAAATTCTGTGACAGCCTGCTTAGCTGAGTGCTGGTAGAGCAGTCAGCACATCCAGTTGAAAAGCAGGAACCAAAACTGGAACCTGCAGTCCACACCCAGGAGGGCTTAAGCATCTTGCTCCTCTCCCCTCACTCACCCAGTGGTTGGTGAAGTTTCTGGTGAGAATGGCAGGAGCAAAGGAACGGGCAGGGTTCATGCCTGCACCAGTATAATACATCTGCAAGAGACACAGTTGTAACTGAGACACTTCCCCCAATTCCACCCAGTTTCTCTCCCCACAGCCCACATGTCCCTGAGGGCTATCAACGTGCCTCCAGCCATCAGCAAGTAGGGACAGACAACCACATGGGAATACCACAATGGAGTGAAGGCACAGATGCACCATCTGGGCATAGACTATGGATCCATAGGCTAAACCACATCTCCCCATAATGCATACATTTCCACCTTAGGTTCAAGAAGGACCAGTTACTGCGGTCACAAGAGAGTAATAAGAAGGGTTGATTCCTCTGTGCTGACTGACACAGAGGGAGGTGAGTAATGTTCATGTTTGATAGTCAGATGGGAAAGATTTGGGGGCCCTGGAGTCGTTAAATGAGTAGTTGTTCCCCTCTCCTACTTACCCCAAAGAGGTGTCCCAGGGCGAGGGAGAAGCCAATGGCCAGGGCCACAGAGCCCAGGCGGCCATTCCGCCTCTCGTCATATGTGGCAAAGATGCAGAGCACAAACTGCAGCGTCAGGAAGACCTCTACTGTGGTGGCCTGGCCCACACTCACCCCAGGGTGCAGCTAGGCCAAGGAAGAAGAAGGGAGGTGGCTCATTAGGGCTGTCACAGCATTGCCTCCTCAAGATTCCCCAGGCAGGATATGCCCTCCCCGTTATGGCATCAGTTTCCTGGAGGTGAAGGATAATACAACCTTTTCCATAGTAACTATTTGTCTCTTCATTTCCCCTAATGTTGGAAATAAGTGCACCCAGTTTTGTGGATGTAGAAACTGAGATCACATAGGTAAAATAAGTTTCCTCAAAAACCTATAAGGAATTGGAAGGAAATCTGGGACCAGAACTCAGGGTTGTTTTTTGTTTTTTTTAATCCTCACTCGAGAATATTTTTTTCCATTTATCTTTAGATAGAGTGGAGGAGGGGGGAGAGAGAGAGAAACACATCGATTGGTTGCCTCTTGTACAACCCCAACTAGGGCCAGGGACAAACTGCAACCGAGGTATATGCCCTTGGCTGGAATCGAACCTGCGATTCTTTGGTCCACAGACCGACGCTCTAACCGCTGAGCCAAACTGGCCAGGGCAGAACTCAGGTTTCTTGATTCTCAGTCCAGGGCTCTATACCTTACTTTTTCCTCCAAAGTACCTGCTGATCCTCCCCACCCTGAAACACACACACACACACACACACACACACACACACACACACACACAATGTCCCAGACCCTTGGGGTACTGATCCACCTGCACCAGGCAGGGAGTCAGGGCACCAGGTTCCCTCTGCCCCACTCGGCTGGTCATTACCGTGTTAAGTGCTAGGTTTCCTCGGACGGCAGGTGGAGTAACACTATACAGCACAGCGGCCCCAGCCACGGCTCCCAGGAGTTGGGCTGCCATATAGCAGAAGGCACGGAGCAGGGACATCTGGGAGCCCACAAGGAAGGCAAAAGTGACTGCAGGATTGACATGGGCTCCACTGATGTGGCCCACAGCCTGCACCAGCGTAGCCAGGGCCAGGCCAAAGGCCAGAGCCACCTGCAAGACATGCAGGGGTCCAGGGGCCCAACGCAGTGAGGCCCCCAGCCCAAAGAAGACGTAGAAGAGGGTGGCAAAGAACTCAGCAAATATGGCCCTCCAGAAGGAGGCTGACCGCAGTTCCCACATGGCAGGGGGGATGGGCACAATGCCTGGGTCCCTAATACCCCCCTGGCCTGATCTGGGTGGACAGTCAGTTCCCTTTATAGAGGACTCTTAATCCCTGGGAGGGACAGGCTGAGGTGGCTGGCCCAGCCTCTTAACCCCTTCACAGCTGCAGAGGACTGGGCCCACTCTCATACGTCAGATAAAGCTGCTGGATTTTCCCTTCCCTCCTCAACTGGGAATGAGCAGAGCCATAGGTGTAAAGGTGGGGATAGGGTCAGGGCTGGAGAGGCGCTGAAAGGAAGGGACCAAGAACAGGGTGACTGGAAGAGTCCCTTTTCATGTCGTTGGGGTTCATAGTCCTGATTGACATCTATATTAGAACATTCCTCTATTCGCTTGGAAGGTCAAGCAAGCTGAGTTCACTTCATGGAGTATGAGACTGTGCTCCTGGGGGCCTCCAGGCTCCTCTGAGTTGACTATGGGTAAGGGTGGGGGTGAGGGTCAGGAGTGGGGTACAGCAGTGATGTTGGATAACTGAAGAGAATTCTTTAGTCCCCTGGGATTAGAGGGCCTTCTTCCATTGGCTGGTTTGGGCTGGAATCTGTGGACCCTGCAGCTCTGGGACAAGAATAGTTCTGCTGTGTCTAGCTTTCCCTGAGCCCAGGTTCCCTACCCCCAACCCATGCCATCACCTCCCTTTCCCTATCCTCAGCCTGACCTTTTATTTTATGTATTTATTTTCCTTTATTGATTTTAGAGAGAGAGAGAAAGGGAGAGGGAGAGAGAGATAGAAACATCGATGAGAGAGAACATCGATTGGCCACCTCCTGCATGCCCCCAACTGGGCATCTGGCCCACAACCCGGTTATTTGTCTTGACCAGGAATTGAACCTGAGACCTCTTGGTGCATGGGTCCACGCTTGACCACTGAGCCACATCAGCTGGACTATTCATTTATTTTTAAGTCCTCACCTAAGGCTATTTTTCCATTTATCTTCAGGTAGAGTGGGGAAGAGGGGGAGAGATCAATTGGCTGCCTCCTGCATGACCCTGACCAGGACCAGGGACCGAACTGCAACCGAGGTACGTGCCTTTGACTGAAATCAAACCCGTGACTCTTTGGTCTGTGGGCCGACACTCTAACCACTGTGCAAACTGGCCAGGGCTGAGCCTGGCAATATAAGCCACAGAGAGAGATAGGGGGAGAAGCTATCTTCCATGGATAGGCTGTGAGTAGGGTTGGAGGGCTAGGGAAGGGAAAAGAGTTAAATCTCAGAATCAGCTTGCACTTCATCTTCCCTAACTCACAAGGTCCTAGCAGGAGGTACTGAAAATAAAAAAACTGAGTCATGCCTATGAAGCAATGGGAGGGTTTAATGCCTCCTAATATGACTGTAATCAGGATACTGGAGTCCTAAACCTTGATCCTTTCAGAAAGGTAAGAGTGGGGGTGTCTGGGAAAACAGGTTAGTCAAAAGAGAGAAGAGGACAAGATGGGGAAGGAAAGCTTGAAGAAAGAGGTTCAGCTGTGTGCAGGTTTGGTGAGGGTCTTGGAACCTAGAAATAGGGGCTGTGTGGTGGTGAAGGCAAAATGAGAGGCACTGGTAGGATCCACTGTCTCCCCACCTTAGCAAGTCATAAAAGCCAAAGCTTTTCTCATGAAGTACCAGAAGAGAACAAAAATTTGAAGGAAAGGCCTGCAGTATTGGTGCCTAGCATCAGTTCCATCCAGTACACCTGTGGAGAGAGAGGAACACAGGTCAAGACTATGACTCTCTCCTCCTCCAATATCCAGCTTAGGGAGGGACAGGAAGAGAAAAGCAAAAGGCCCATTTAACTCATCCACATTCAAAAAGAGTTCTTGAGAACAGGTCAGAGGGCACCCAAGAGAACTGGAGCTTCCAATTTCATGGAAGAGGAGCAACCTATCAGAGGTCCTTGGAGTCTCTTGTGTTTTAGAAGCTCCACCGATCTCCTGACTTCAGGCCCTGTAACCCTTGCTGCATCTCATTCAGTGATGCTCCCAGATGCCAGTCATCACTGCTGGACTCAGGGAGTGCACATGGTTCATGTTGCTTCTGAAAAAGAATGTATGGATAGGAGTGAGGTAGTACATCATGGTGTTAAGAGCAGAGACTTTGCCAGGCTGGTGTGGCTTGAGCCTTGGCCCATGTACCAAGAGGTCACTGGTTCGATTCCTGGTCAGGGCATATGCCCAGGTTGTGGGCCAAATCCCCAGTGGAAGGCATGCAGGAGGCGGCCAATTGATGGTCTCTCTCATCAATGTTTCAATCTCTCCCTCTCCCTCCCTCTCTCTCTAAAATCAATAAAGAAAAAAAAAGGAGTAGAGACTTCAGCAACAGATACTTTGGTTCAGATATGAATGAGGATACAAAGGGACAAAACTAGTTATGACTGCTGGCGAGAGGGTAAATTGGGATATTCACTTTGGACTACAGTACAGCACCATCTTGTAGAGATAAATAAACACATACTTTCTTACCCAGGCTTTCACTTCTCACTTATATACCCAAGAGAAACTTTTCCATACTTTCACCAGGAGACATGCACAGGAATGTTTTTAGCATGTCTATTCACAATAGCAAAAACTTGAAGTAACCCAAATGCCCATTGACAAGAGAATAGATGAATAAACAGTGGTATTTTCACGCAATGGAAAATTATTCAGCAGTCAAAATGAGTGAACCACCTCAGTGACACTCAATAACTGGGATGAATCTTAGCAATAAAATATCAAGAAAAAAATAATGCATGATAATACTTTTACAAAGTTAAAAAGAAACATCTAAAATGAAAATATGCTTTCAGAATAGTATAGACGAGATGAGACTACACAAAAATATAAAACAAAAGCTGATGAATACAGGATTCAGGATAGTGTTTGCCTTGGGTTAGGGGAAGTAAGGGGATGGAGTGGGATATTTATGTGTCTATGCGTAGATTTCTGTTCTATTTTTATTTATTTATTTTTTCCCATTTTTTTGTTCAGACAGAATGGGAGGGAGAGAGAGGAAGAGAGAGAGAGAGAAACATCGACGTGAAAGGGACACATCGAGTGGCTGCCACCCGCAGGGCCGACCAGGGCCGGGGACAAACTGCAACCGAGGTACGTGCCCTTAGTGGGAGCCGAACCCAGGTCTCTTTGGACCGCAGGTCAACGCTCTAACCGCTGAGCCAAACCGGCCAGGGCTATGCGTAGATTTCTGTAAGTGACTGTTAAAGTTCTAGTTTTTTTTGTGGGTTGATGGTTAATAATGATAATCAGTATTATTTAAAGAAAAGCGGGAGTCATATATAGGCCAACAAGGAGATGTCATAAACAAAGAACTATTCTGTACACTTGAAATCTGTTAAGAACAGCAGCAACAACAAAAATCTTGGTTTTACCACTTTCTAGGTGGGGAAGTTATTCCTACTAAATATAAACTCCAGGAGGGCAGAAATGGATCTGATTTGTTCACCACTACAATCCCCATGCTTGATACATTTGTTGGATTAAGTAATGTAAGCTCTCTGAGCCTCATCAAGTAAGATAATGTAGGAAGCCCTGGCTGGGTGGCTGAGTTGGTTGGAGTACCATCTCGTACACCAAAAGATTGCAGGCTCGATCCCTGGCTAAGGCACATGCAGGAGGCAACCAATCAATGTTTCACTCATGTCAATGTTTCTCTCCCCACCCCTCCTCTCTCTCTAAAAATCAATAAAAACATATCCTTGGCCCTGGCCGATTTGGCTCAGCGGTTAGAGTGTCGGCTAGTGGACCAGAGAGACCCGGGTTCGGTTCCTGCTAAGGGCACATACCTCGGTTGCAATTTGTCCCTGGCCCTGGTTGGGGTTGAGTGGGTGGCAACCAGTCAATGTGTTTCTCTCATATCGATGTTTCTCTCTCTCTCTTCCTTTCTCTCTCCCTCCCACTCTATCTGAAGATAAATGCAAAAATGTCCTCGCGTGAGGATAAAAACAAAAACAAAAAAACATATCCTTGGGTGAGGATTAAAAAAAAAAAAAAAGAAAAGAGCCCTGGCCAGTTTGGCTCAGAAGTTGGAACGTAGGCCCATGGACCAAAGAGTCTCAAGTTCCATTCCAATCAAAGGCACGTACCTCAGTTGCAGTTCAGTCCCAGGCCTGGTTGGGGTCATGCAGGAGGCAGCCAATTGGTGTGTCTCTCTCACACCAATGTTTCTCTCTTTCTCCCTCCCTCCCATTCTATCTGAAAATAAATGAAAAAAATATCCTTGGGTGAGGATTAAAAAAGATAATGTAGCCCTGGCCGATTTGGCTCAGTGGTTAGAGTGTCGGCCTGCGGTCCCGAGAGACCCAGGTTCGGTTTCTGCTAAGGGCATGTACCTTGGTTGCAGTTTGTCCCCAGCCCTGGTTAGTTGTGCGGGTGGCGGCCACTCAATGTGTCCCTTTCACATTGATGTTTCTCTCTCTCTTTCTCTTCCTCTCTCTCCCTCCCACTCTATCTGAACAAAAAAAACGGAAAAAAATGTCCTCGGGTGAGGATTAAAAAAAAAAAGATAATGTAGGCAAAGGCCTAGTGTAGTGCCTGACACAGAATAAAGCACTTAATAAACAGGAGCCATTTGATGAGGACTTTATTTCCAGGAAGGGATTGGATTATCCCTAACCACCAACCCTATAGCCTTTTATAATAAGAGACAGAGGGAAAGGGCAGCTAATTTGGTTCCCTCATAGACACTGAATAAAATGGTTAGATTTCTTTTTCTTTTTTTTTTTTTATCCTTACCCGAGGACATTTTTGCATTAATCTTCAGATAGAGCTGAAGGGAAAGAGGAAGGAAGAGAGAGAGAGAAACATCAATGTGAGAGAGACACATCAAGTGGTTGCCACCAACACAATCCCAACCCGGGCTGGGGACAAACTGCAACTAAAGTATGAGCCCTTAGAGGGAACTGAACCCAGGCCTCTCTGGTCCGCAGGCCAACGCTCTAACAGCTTAGCCAAACTGGCCAGGACTAGATATATATATATTTTTAATCCTCACCTGAGGACATTTTTCCATTTTTTTGTTC